GATGGTTTTTTTCATCCCAATTTCAACCAATCAAATGCTGGCATTTTCCGTCACGTGGTACAAGTAAAATGGTTTTACTTGGGATATTTTTCGAATATTTCCTCGTTTGTTGTTAAGCAATGACAATATCCAATAAACAATTGGTACGCGTTTCAAACCCTAAAACTGTCATTAGAAAAAATCAAGTTGAAAGACTTTACCTCGACATGAGCAGATTTGGAATAGAATCCTTGGACGTTATTGATCAATAAATTGAAAAAAAATTGAAAATTGAGATTTCCTAATAAAACCGTTTTACTGTTACCATATGAAATGCCACACATTTAATTGCTTGAAATTGGAATGAAAAAAAAATCCAGCCACGCCCCCCTCGATCTTGAAAATTAATCGGATATCTCCCGAGAAGGATAAGTTTCGCTTTTTCCATTGAGCATTACCATTCATCGAAAATCTCGGGCATATTTGTCATTTATTATCGGCTATCTCAGTTCTGTGCATTGCTAGTTTCTTCTCGGAATTCTTATTTTTATATCTCTTTATTCTTATTCATTTCCTCAGCAAGGACTATCACAACCATTGCTCATAATATAATAATTAAATCGTAAAATAATTCGTGGACAAATAGTGGTATAAGACTTACACCACTATTCATCCACGAATTGTTTGCTTCATATTATTGGGTACAGTTACCGCTCCAGCTCAGGAATGGACTCATATTGCTACCTATTTCGAATAAAAAAAATTATATTTATAATGAAAATTGCTGGAAAATCAAAATTCCCGCTCGATCGCACGGTGGCCCTCTGCCGGTATCGGTCGAACCAGAGCTGAAGCAGAGAGAGATATCGAATTAGAGCAGGTAGTTTTCTTAAGTGGATGAGGCCCCTCTCCCAGCTCTGACTAACGAAGCTCGGGAGCCGCGTGAGCCTAATGAGCCCAGGTTGCCGGGCCCTGTCTTATACTACTGATATCTCAAATTTTTTGCAAAATTTAATAAAATAATTATTTGCTATTGAGGTAACCAAGACATAATCCAATTTCTAGCACCATGATGTTTGAACAATTACCCCCGAGACAACTAAGGATTTTTCACTTTGAATTGGTGAAAATTTGTTCGTATTTTTAGGTGGTATGGTTTTTTTAATTTGAAAAGAAAGCGCGCGGCGCTCTTTATGTTTAACTACTACCCACTTTGTGCAAATGGGCTTGACGCAATTGGGGTGTTGTATTTCTAATAATGAGTCTAATAGTGCGTGATAACCTCGTTTCCCGAAGGTCTGACTTTGCCCCTGCCTGATGTCACTTAGCGCCTAACGCATCTCACTAAGTTACGAAAGCGTCGATGTTCGGGAGGTGCGTACGGAGCGTGCACGTAATTCAGCGACTGTTTGAACGCTCTAATGTACATGATTTCATTACCCGAGCGGTAGTCACGAAAGGGACGGCTGTACTTGGCCAAGATTTTTTCCCATAAGATTTTCTCTTCGGCGCTCGGGGTAATTGTGGTAGAGGTGGGATGGGAAAACGAAAAAAAAACTAAAAACCCGAAACAGAATACACGTGGAACAAACTTATTTAAGGTTGTTGTCGCGTAGAATTTTTTTTCGACAGTTTTCGTTAAAAATTTTATGGTGAATAGTTTGAAAAATTAGCAACAAAATGAGCCTTTTCCGTTTGCAATT